GTCATCCACCATTTGATAATAGAGCTCATAATCATCACTTAATAGTAGATATATGTGCAGGTTTACGACCACCAATATTACCAGGAATGCCTGATAATTATGTGCAAATGATGCAAAGGTGTTGGGATATGGACCCATTCAAGAGACCAACTGCTCAAGAGCTTGATAAATTTGCTATTAATAAATCACAAGAAATTTACAAAAATAATAACAGTATTGGTGGTGGTGATGGTAATAATAATGGTAGTGGCAGTAGTAGTAATAACAATAATATTAATGATAATAGTAATTCACAACAAATTTATAAATCACATCCATTAGCATATCATACAAGCATAATATTAAATGATGAAATTGCTAAATTAAATTTGAGTAATGATAGCTTATTAAATTATAAAATATAATTTTATTAAATAGTTAGTTAATTGAAATTTGTTAATTTATTTATTACTAATGTTAATTAATTTATAAGTAGTTGAAATGAGGGTTGATAAGGTTTTAAATTTAAAATAAAGAGAAATGAAAAATAAAGACACAAATTATATAGGTAACACATCATCTGACTTTAAATAATTTCACAGATAATAAAATTTATAACCATTGGTAAAAGTGAAGTAATTCTGAAGTATTTATACAATTTACTCTGCATAGGAAATTGATATAATTTTCAATGCATGATATAATTTGTGATGTTGTTTGCCATAAGTCACAAGTATCATGATCAAATGTCGAGATAGAGTTTTAAAGAAGCTGATTGTGATTTTTGAGGATTGTTTATTTTGCTAATAGATTTGTTTGTCTTTATTTTTAATTTCAGAGGTGCTATATTTAATTCTTATAAAAATCTCAATAATTCTTAAATTTTACTATAAAATATTTGGTTACCACAATATGCTTGTGGTTGAAGCAAAAACAACAAACAATCTAAAAACAGAGCCATTCATCAATTATACTAAATAAATTCCAATTTAACAGTTACTTAAATCTAGTATTAAAAAGTTGCCAAAAATATAAATATGTGACAAAAATCAAAAAGTAAAGTTCAACTTTATTAATTAAAAACATTTACATTATAAACCATGATGCTTAATTGGATACTTCCTTTTTGTATGTAAAGCTTCAATAGGAAATGTAACTTCTTATGTTTATTTGAAATGCTTCTTCATTTACTATTTCCAAAATAAATCTTCATTTATTAATTTTTGAACTAATTCTAACTAGTTCATTTGTTAGCTAAATGAGCTTGGAGTTTGGAATGCATTTCATGATTCCAGATTCTTGGGACAAGATTTGCAAGATGCTGAGTAATGTCCTTTTGTTTTCCTTTCCTTTAATAAAGTGTGACCATACATCAGATACAGGATGACCTGTAATTATTTCTTGGTTATCATTAAATGAATTTTCAGATGTATTACCTAAATTTTAATATTTGTAATTCATACATATTATATGACAATGATGATTGAGAAGGAATTGGTGAATTAAATTTGGCATGATGAACTTTTTTTTTTCAATTTACTTATGAAAATGCAAATAACTTAAAATTTTCAAAATAATTGGTTTAATATTAAAAAAGCATAGAAACCCAATTTCAGCACCCAACCTTGGCATTGATATTAATTTTGGTTCTGACTTCTAGGTCAGTCAATGATGTCAATGATGTAGTTAATTGTTCTCTTTCTGAAATGGTAGTCTAATTATTCAAGAAATGGTGGCTTCATAAATTATCATGTAGTTATCAGCAAAAAATATCCGCAATCGCCAAATCGATTTCTAAATAAGGATAACACACACCCACCAATAAAATTGGATGTTCTCATGATGCTGCGGGATTATTCATAATAATAATAATTCAAAAAATGTCCTTTCAAAAATTATTGACAGCAGACAGAACTGAATTGGTATTTAAAATCCATAGTGAAATGTATAATAATGCATATTCTGCCTTTCCCACTATTTCTGACAGAGAAAATCGAAAAAGTTTTTTTTTACAATTAGTCAAAGAAAATAAAATTCTTTTAGAAAATGAGAAAGAATATTGTAGAGAAAGGTTTATTTATTATTTTGAATTAAGGAGTGCACAAGATAAATTAGGAGAACCAAAAAAATGTAAAAATTGTAAAACAACAAGATACTCTAATAAATTTTGTGAAAAGTGTATTAGTTTACACTTACAGAATCTCTTTGATACTTGGACATCTGGAAATGAAATAATTGATAATTTTATTCAAAAATGTCAAAAGCTTTCATCTCTTCCAGATGCAATTATAGAATGGATACCTTACAAGCAATTTGAAAATATAAAAAAAATAACAAAAGGTGGATTCAGTTCAATTTATACTGCCAGGTGGACAAGAGGAAGTATTGATGATTATGATGAAAATAAAAAAAAGTTTGATTATTTTGGAGCTCAGAAAGTAGTATTAAAAAGTTTAAATGATTCAAGTAATCCAGGAAAGTCTTTTTTTGATGAGGTAGGTAATTAATTGATCTTATTTAAATTAAAATAAACCATTTATTTTAAATTAATTGATTTTATTTTTATTTACATAATTAATTACAGGCATTAAATTATTGTAAAATTAAATCAACTTTAATTATTTCTTGTTATGGTATAACTAAATTCCCAGAAAATGGAAATTATGCAATAGTTCTAGATTATGCAACAGAAGGAAATTTAAGAGATTATTTACAAACAAATCATTCAAATTTAACATTAAAAGATAGAATCAATATTTTTAATGATTTATGTAATACATTACGTTATATTCATAAAGAGGGTTTAATTCATTGTGATCTACACAGTGGTAATATATTAATGGAAGGAGACAGCAGTTATATCACAGATTTAGGATTATGTGGGCCAGTTGATGAAAAATCATCAAATAAAGTATATGGAATTATATCATATATTGCACCTGAGTTATTTAAAGGAAACAAGAACACAAAAGAAACAGATATTTATAGTGTTGGAATGTTAATGTGGGAAATATTTGCAGGTCATCCACCATTTGAAAATAGAGCTCATAATCATTGCTTAATAGTAGATATATGTGCAGGTCTACGACCACCAATATTACCAGGAATGCCTGATGATTATGCACAAATGATGCAAAGGTGTTGGGATGTGGATCCAACCAAGAGACCAACTGCTCAAGAGCTTCTCCAATTTTCTATTAATAAATCACAAGAAATTTACAAAAATAGCAGTGATATTGGTGGTGATGATGGTAATAATAGTGGTAGTAGCAATAGTAGTAGTAATAATAATAGTAATGATAATAGTGATTCACAACAAATTTATAAATCACATCCATTAGCATATCATACAAGCAGAATATTAAATGATGAAATTGCTAAATTGAATTTAAGTAGTGATAACTTATTATTATTAAATTATGAAATATGACAAATTAAATATTTAATTAATTGAAATTTAATTAATATTAATATTAATAATAATAATAATAATAATAATAATAGTAATAAAGTATAAGTAGTTGAAAGGAGGGGTTGATAAGGTTAAAATTTCAAAAAGTTGGGAAATTGTTGATGGGTGATTGACTTCACTATTTTTATTTAACAGATAATAAAATTTATAACCGTTGGTAAAAGTATATAAAGTAATTCGGAAATATCTTTACGATTTACTCTGCATAGGGAATTGATATAATTTTCAATGCATGATATAATTCGCGATGTTGTTTGCCACAGGTCACAAGTATCACAATCAAACGCCGAGATATGGTTTTAAAGAAGCTAATTATGATTTTTTATTTTTAAAGTATTATTAATTTCAGAGGTGCTATATCCAGTATTTATTCTCTCATAGAAAAGTCTCGATCATTCTTCACATCGATAAAAATATTTGTTTATCATGATATACGCTCTTTTAGTTCGTTCATGGTTAAAACAAAACAACAAACATTCTAAAAAATTGAACCGCTCATCAATTACAGTCTACGCTCGATATAGTAATCTACTATACAGTAAATTATACAATATAAGGAAGTTGAAAATTTTCCCGTTTGATTATAATGAACTCTGTGAATTTGAAATTAGCCAATCAATATGGGATCGCGAGATTCTTTTTAGTTGGCAATCAATTTGTAAATTTCAAAGAATGCATTTCATCATCATCTTGCATTTATTTTTAATAAAATAAACAAATATTGACAAATATACCTGTGTAAATTTTTTTAAGCTTTTCTTTTAACTCTTTACACGTTATTAAAAAATTATTGCTTTACACTCTTATGTTTACGAATAATTTCATTTTTGATATTACTTTTGATATCAGATATTATGGACGTGTGATTTAAAAATACATAGACTCGATTTGTTTTCAAGAGTTTCTCCAGAGTGATTGGTTGACATATGCCATTAAAATTATTCACCATGCGTAATCCATTGCTATCTATGACAATGAATATTTTTATTCGAATTTCTTCTATAGAAATTGATAAAAAATTTTTTTACCAGTTATTATAATCAGATTTCCATTACAAACCATATATACACAGTAGTAATATTAAACAATGAGAAAATACTTTACTAACTCAACTTTAAATTGTAGCAGTCATTCTTACTTGGAGTGAGTACTTTTACTATGGGATGTGTATCTTTTTTTTGGATCATTAGAAACCTTTATTTTAATAAAGTATATTGAAATTTTCATACAAATAGCACGTGATTTTCACAAATATTCGTGTCATTTTACATTATTATTATTATTATTTATTGATTTATTTATCACTTGGAAGAATTTAACTTGGGAGTCTTTATCTTCTTCAAATCGCAAACAACACATCAAAAGTCAAGTGATCAAATCAAAAATTAATAAATTACAAAGATTTTAAAAATTTATTTTGATTATTAGATATATAACAATAATGATAAATACATGCATGCATATTATAAACAAAAATGATGACATTAGTTATTGCCAACCCTCTATTTAAAATTTATTATTATTATTATTATTATTAATTATTAGTGAATTATCTCCTCTTAGAAAGAGGTATATCACTCAAAGTTGGAATTTCTGGATTTGGATTATTTGGAGTTGCATATCCCAACGATTCTAAAACGGATATAAGCTTGGGTCCGATTGCACCTCCAGCAAAATTTCCACCATCTATAATTGCTTGAGCCAACGTTTTAGCTGCAGGTTCTTGATAAGTCATTAGGAACTCAAAGCTTTTCAGGTACAATGCTTGACTCGCATGACTAACACTTGATCCTGGCATATAAGGGACTAAACTGGTTTCCAAATAAAGAAATGGATCATTGGCAGTTTTGTTTGGTGTAACTGTTTGAAAATCCAAGCCTTTTGGTAAGAAGCCAAGTGTTAAAGGTGTTGTAGCAGTTTTTAACATATCAGTTACAATTTTAAATTGAGTGGATGCTGTAAATTTGGCTGTAAACTCAGTTACTGAAGCAAACTGCGTGCCTTTTGGTGCAAAAGTATTTAATTCGGCTGTCAAATCGCTTAATGTCTTGCCAGTTGACATCACTCTTACAAACCTATCAAATATACCATCTATAAATCCATTAAATATTAGTGGCGGATCTTGTGAAGCATCCAAAGCTTTTGCAATAATTGGTGGCATCACTACTATTTGAGAATCATCAATACTCCATAATGATAAAAATCCCAAGCCATGCACGAATTCGTGCAATGTCATATATGAAAATGATAGCTGATTTTTTGCAATCGGTGTTGTATCATCATCAAACCAAAAATTCAATTCAGAGCTAAATTCTGCTATTATGTCAAAAGGTAAAAATGCCGGATGTGATGGAAGTCCGAATTGTTTTACTAATCCTTGTGGATACGCTCTATCTACTCCATCCGAGCCTTTCAACGGTATAAATCTAGACACTCCTGTTTGACCTAATAAATTAAAAAAAAAAAGAAATTAGAAAATTTCAAAAAAATAAAAAAAATAAAAAAACATTATTTTCATTCTTATTACCTATTACACCTGGAGATAGTGGCTTAAAAGTGATGTCTACAACAATAGGTTCTTTTAACATTAGAACTTTGGTAATCGTTTCTCCTGTAACATCCAAACTTTTTTTGGCTTTTCCACAAAAAGCTGCATTTGGGCTTAGACACTTGAGGTTTATTGTGAACATATTGCTACTTGCAGCTTGATTTTTAAGGGTCTTTGTTTTTGGCTTTTCATCGACCATTGCGCAGCTGACTGATTTAACCTTGCGTGCTTGATTTGGTGTAAACTCATTATCGTAACATGTATGCGGTTCTGCTGGTGCTGGTGCCGAAGAAACGTTTGTAATATTAAAAAGTGATATTAATAATAACAATAATAGTAATAAATAATTCATTTTCTCAAAAATAAATTTTCTTTTTTCGAAAAATAAATTTGCTTTATCAAAAATAAATTTGTTTTTCAAAAAATAAGGATTCGGCAATTATTTAAAAATTTTTTTTTTAAAGGGTCCATTGCGTAGATATTTATTCATATTTTTGTGAATTATTATTTGTTTATCTCCACAGTTAATTTTGGAAATTTAATAAAAAGATTTTTGAATTGCACATATGAAACAGTACTTATTTACTGTTTATCATCTATATTTAGTTAATTTAATTATTTATTTATTTATACATGTTTTTAATTGCGTTGTTCTCTAAAAGCTAACAAGAAGCTTAAATCTTGATTCTAGAATTTATAAACCGGTTTTATTACAAAAAGAAAATTCTTTTTTGGAGATGTGCAGATTTATATGAAACTCGGGAAATTCATCCTTGATAATAGTAAAATTGTTCTAATTTTTTGCTTTGTTTCTTGTGAAGCATCCAAAGCTTTTGCAATAATTGGTGGCATCACTACTATTTGAGAATCATCAATACTCCATAATGATAAAAATCCCAAGCCATGCACGAATTCGTGCAATGTCATATATGAAAATGATAGCTGATTTTTTGCAATCGGTGTTGTATCATCATCAAACCAAAAATTCAATTCAGAGCTAAATTCTGCTATTATGTCAAAAGGTAAAAATGCCGGATGTGATGGAAGTCCGAATTGTTTTACTAATCCTTGTGGATACGCTCTATCTACTCCATCCGAGCCTTTCAACGGTATAAATCTAGACACTCCTGTTTGACCTAATAAATTAAAAAAAAAAAGAAATTAGAAAATTTCAAAAAAATAAAAAAAATAAAAAAACATTATTTTCATTCTTATTACCTATTACACCTGGAGATAGTGGCTTAAAAGTGATGTCTACAACAATAGGTTCTTTTAACATTAGAACTTTGGTAATCGTTTCTCCTGTAACATCCAAACTTTTTTTGGCTTTTCCACAAAAAGCTGCATTTGGGCTTAGACACTTGAGGTTTATTGTGAACATATTGCTACTTGCAGCTTGATTTTTAAGGGTCTTTGTTTTTGGCTTTTCATCGACCATTGCGCAGCTGACTGATTTAACCTTGCGTGCTTGATTTGGTGTAAACTCATTATCGTAACATGTATGCGGTTCTGCTGGTGCTGGTGCCGAAGAAACGTTTGTAATATTAAAAAGTGATATTAATAATAACAATAATAGTAATAAATAATTCATTTTCTCAAAAATAAATTTTCTTTTTTCGAAAAATAAATTTGCTTTATCAAAAATAAATTTGTTTTTCAAAAAATAAGGATTCGGCAATTATTTAAAAATTTTTTTTTTAAAGGGTCCATTGCGTAGATATTTATTCATATTTTTGTGAATTATTATTTGTTTATCTCCACAGTTAATTTTGGAAATTTAATAAAAAGATTTTTGAATTGCACATATGAAACAGTACTTATTTACTGTTTATCATCTATATTTAGTTAATTTAATTATTTATTTATTTATACATGTTTTTAATTGCGTTGTTCTCTAAAAGCTAACAAGAAGCTTAAATCTTGATTCTAGAATTTATAAACCGGTTTTATTACAAAAAGAAAATTCTTTTTTGGAGATGTGCAGATTTATATGAAACTCGGGAAATTCATCCTTGATAATAGTAAAATTGTTCTAATTTTTTGCTTTGTTACACAAAAAAAATTGGTATCTGTTATTGTACGTGTGAAATTGTAAAAAAAAATACAATAATTTTTATTTCCTAAAGGTTAGTAGATACCATAAAGCTTTAAAATAATAGAATGTATTTTGGTAGTAATAAGTATATTAATATTTATTATGTGTGCCGGTTGATTATCTCTTGGCACTCATTAATATTTAATATTAATATAGAACCGGAAAAAATTTTGGCCCTTGATTCGTGATACGTGAAACAACTGCAATAATTTCATAATAGAATTTGGCGCAAATTTTCGCAGATCACTAATTGAAATTTTCCGGAACCCATACTTCATTCCTAAAAAACTACCATTTATACGAATTTATAAATTGTATTTGCAAATGTAATAAATAGTAAGAAACCCAAGGTTTTAATATACAAATTTTCAAATGGACTTTCTTATAAAATATTTTATCTTTATATGGAGGGACCGCTGGATTCTTGCCTAAAATTGCTATATAAAACTTAAGATTCAAGTATAATATTTAATTATTTGTTCAAGAAAAAAATATAAATAAGCGTTTGTAATTAATTTTATTCAAAAAAAAAGAAATATAAATAGATGTTTGGTTACTTTGAAAAGTTTAAATTTTAAATTTTTATGTCGCGCGTAATCATGCTTAATCACGTGAGGGACGGTCATATTCCAAAAATTCTAAAAATTATTATTATATTAATATTGTTTATTATCGCCACAAAATTATACTAACGATCGGCAAAATTTTTGCAGTTGTCTCACGGAGCACGAATTGAGAGTCTTTAAAAATTTGATTTATTTTAACTCCCTAAAAAAACAAACGGGGTTTTTTTCTATTAGATAACCTTCATTGTTTATTTTACGTGAGGTTTGGGTTTTTTTTGTTTATAAAATTATGGTATCCTTCTTCTACGACAATTATGATTCATATAATATTTTGTTGTTCAGATTTTAAATTAGATTTGCAGTAGTTATAGTACTGCATGAGCTGGACATAAGGTTGTGGGCGAAACCTCCTTAGTAATTGCTGAAACCACAGCAAAACTATATTAAATCTTATCAAAAATCCTGTTGAAACTATGGCAAAATAGCGAAACCTCAAAATGCGAAACTCTGCCAAAACTCTAATAAACAATTAATGTGTAACCTGCCGAAACCCTGCTGATTGATTTCTGGATGAGTTTTGGCAAGCAACCTTAGCCCTAATACGAAATGCCACATATTCTGCAACAAGTATTTCAAAATCATGCCATTCCATTTTCCATCCTGGCAAGAATGACACACTCAACTTGCCTACTACTACAAATAATTTGAGAGCTTGGATGTAAAGATGAATAAAAATAGGGGGTAATGTAATCAAGATACGATTGTCATTTTCAGCATAATCTGTCAGAATCAAATGTTGATCATGCTCTAAAGACTCCAGAGTATCAGAATATTTGACTGAGAGAATGTTTGATTTCATTGATGGCATTGCTGCAAGACATCGATAAATGATGGCTTCAGCAAGTTCATTGTGTTCAATGACCCATGTTGTGATTGTGTACATATTGTCAACATCTCTTGCCAGATTATTGTGGATTGCATTATAATCCAACAAATCAATACCTTGAAAAAAAATTTCTGTTATTTCATATCTCTTTCCAAAGCAGCATTTCAATAGACACTCAATTGCTCGTGGGAGTCCACCTGTATCACATAACAAAAAATACATCTGTTCTTGCATGCTCCATACATCCAAAGGAAAGCCTTTGCTATTTGCAAAATGTTTCATTATGTCAATTCGTGATTGCATTTTCAGCAGAGAACAATTGACAAATTCAAAAGTGTACATTGTAGGTTCCCTTTGCCGAATTACACTTTGTGGTGCAGTTCCTGAGAGGAAAGGCTGAATGAAGCTTAAGTTGGGATTACCAATCATAAATCTTCCAACATTGTATAATATGCCCTTGAATATACCCTTGGGGTTACCGTTAATATCTTTCTTCATATCAGCTTTCCAGCCCTTAAAGTCAAAGATGGTCTGGAATTCATCGTTGTGTAAAAACAAAAAGAGAAGCTGATTGCCTGTAAGGTCTAGATGCTCACGAATTCCAAGGATTGAAACTGATAACCAGCAATCTGGAGGAGTAAAATTTGGATTACGTTCTCTAGAAATTTGCATAGCAGCACGGCAACTGAGGATATGTCCAAAGAAGTCTTCAAAGTTATGCCGATATATAATAAGGCAGTTTGGTAGAGGTTCTTCACAATAGCCACTAATATCTTCCTTGAAATCAGCAGATGATATGAATACTGTAATAACATTATAGTTGTTAATGCCAAAATTACAATGTGCGCTCTGAACTGCAGCCACATTTTTATTATGTTCTTCCTTCACATCAGCCTTCTTGAAATAGCCCCTCCACAATTTATTTTGGATGCATACTATTAGTTCTGATTTTTCCTAATATTTTTGTGAGATATGAGTAAAGATACTAACTTCCTGAAAAAACATGACATTTTTTAAAATACCAATACTTACAAAAACAAGAAAAGAGTCAGCAAATGATGCTTTATCCCCATTCACAATCACACCTGACTTGAAGTCCACAATTTCACCTTGCTTATTAGTAATGGGTAAGTGGCTGGAAACTTATTGTGGAGTTGATGAACAGCATGTTTTTGGAGTTCAACCTCTGTCTCCAAGGACATCTTGTCACCATAAGCACCCTGAAAGATGTTTTTGAGAGCCACCTTCCTATACCCAAAGTAGAGGAGAGCCCTAATTAAGGTTGTGGGCGAAACCTCCTTAGTAATTGCTGAAACCACAGCAAAACTATATTAAATCTTATCAAAAATACTGTTGAAACTATGCCGAAACCTCAAAATGCGAAACTCTAATAAACAATTAATGTGTAACCTGCCGAAACCCTGCTGATTGATTTCTGGATGAGTTTTGGCAAGCAACCTTAGCCCTAATACGAAATGCCACATATTCTGCAACAAGTATTTCAAAATCATGCCATTCCATTTTCCATCCTGGCAAGAATGACACACTCAACTTGCCTACTACTACAAATAATTTGAGAGCTTGGATGTAAAGATGAATAAAAATAGGGGGTAATGTAATCAAGATACGATTGTCATTTTCAGCATAATCTGTCAGAATCAAATGTTGATCATGCTCTAAAGACTCCAGAGTATCAGAATATTTGACTGAGAGAATGTTTGATTTCATTGATGGCATTGCTGCAAGACATCGATAAATGATGGCTTCAGCAAGTTCATTGTGTTCAATGACCCATGTTGTGATTGTGTACATATTGTCAACATCTCTTGCCAGATTATTGTGGATTGCATTATAATCCAACAAATCAATACCTTGAAAAAAAATTTCTGTTATTTCATATCTCTTTCCAAAGCAGCATTTCAATAGACACTCAATTGCTCGTGGGAGTCCACCTGTATCACATAACAAAAAATACATCTGTTCTTGCATGCTCCATACATCCAAAGGAAAGCCTTTGCTATTTGCAAAATGTTTCATTATGTCAATTCGTGATTGCATTTTCAGCAGAGAACAATTGACAAATTCAAAAGTGTACATTGTAGGTTCCCTTTGCCGAATTACACTTTGTGGTGCAGTTCCTGAGAGGAAAGGCTGAATGAAGCTTAAGTTGGGATTACCAATCATAAATCTTCCAACATTGTATAATATGCCCTTGAATATACCCTTGGGGTTACCGTTAATATCTTTCTTCATATCAGCTTTCCAGCCCTTAAAGTCAAAGATGGTCTGGAATTCATCGTTGTGTAAAAACAAAAAGAGAAGCTGATTGCCTGTAAGGTCTAGATGCTCACGAATTCCAAGGATCACATTATCAGTATTAAAATATTTTTCCTTGTTGAGTGCTAGAACAGTCTGGCGAAATGTTGGAAATGTCATATTATAATTGTTTTGGATGAAGAAAGCATATGCAATCTGCAGACCAACAAGTATTTCTATTGATAGTCCACTATCACTTCCATCCAATTGAACAATATTGCTGAAGTCAAGGAAAATATATTGAAATGAAATTGATTGTCTAATGATTAATATTTTTTGCTTTACTTCTTTGAACAACTCTTTCCCATAACGAGTTTTTCCTGAAATGAAATCAAGTTATCATTAGAATGTGTTCAGAAAACAGAATAATAAAAGACCTAACACTGATACCTATTCCAGGAGCCCCCCAGCCACAAGAATTCTGAAATTTGACTTGGCCTCAGGGATCCCCCTCCCTTCATATTTCTTCGAATTCTCAATATTGTTTTGAATTTTTTCTAAATCGTTAGAAAAGTTGTGGCATTTTAGTGGAATGTCATTGGTTTCATCAATTTCAGAAGATTTCTTTAAAGTATTGAAGTTTGACAAAATCATGTTCATAATGTCCTTGAATGATGAAAGGCGATCTATAAAAGCAAAAATTTTTTTAAAAGGTACAAATCAATTATAAATAGTGTATTAATATCAAATAAATAAAATGGAATGAATGAAAAATAATTTTTTTGTGTATTTTTTTATGCAATTTATTCATTACCTTCTCCTTCACGTAGACTCTTTCTGCACTCCAACATCTCATCTTCCCACTTCAACACATGATCTCCCCACTTCTTCTTCTCATTCCTCAACTCCTCCTTTTCCTCTTCTAAATTTTTTTGTTCACCATCATAATCTTCTTTTGCTCCTCTCCTCAACTCTTCCAGTCTTTCCAACCTCTTTTCCACTTTCTTCAATCTTTCTTTATTTTTGTCGTAAGTTGCCATTTGTTTAAAATTTAAAATTAAAAATTTTTTTTTTATTGATTTAGATTGTAATTTTTACAATCAACTATTTTATAAATAATTTTGACCAATAGTAAATTAGTGGACATGTGACTTTGAATTAAAAAAATTTTTTGTTAATTTTTTTATTGAATTTTGTAAAGCTTCAAAACCACATTAAATTTATAGGACCTTATCACAAGGGTATTGTTAATATTTATGGCATTTCACAAGATCCAAATACAAAAGAATATGTTCTTGTAATGAGATATGCAGCTAAGGTTGTGGGCGAAACCTCTTAATGACTGTTGAAACTCTGTAGAAACTCTAATGAACAATTAATGTGTAACCTGTCAAAACTATGATGATTGGCGAAAACCCCAAATGTGAAACTCTGCTGAAACTCTAATAAACAATTAATGTGTAACCTGCCAAAACTCTGTCGATTGATTTCTGGAGGAGTTTCTCCTGCAACCTTATATGCAGCTGAAGGTGATTTTAAAAATATTTAGAATCAAATTATGCAAGACAGAAAGGATGGAATGATAAAATTAAAAAACTTTATAACATTGTCTCAGGTTTAAACACAATTCATCAAGAAAAACTTATACATAGTGATCTTCACAGTGATAATATTTTATATTTTCAATATTTATCCCAGGCAATGCCTACAGATTTAGGTTATCAGGTTCAACTGATCAAGAACCATCAAGTAAAAATGGCATATTTGGAGTACTGCCATATGTTGCACCAGAGGTATTAAACAAGAAACCTTATACACAAAAATCTGACATCTATAGTCTTGGTATTTTAATGTCAGAAACATCAACACATCAACAACCATTCAAAGATCAACTACATGATATAGATCTTGCTTTCAAGATCTGTGGTGGCTTAAGGCCTAGTTTTTCAGTTAATATTCCAGAATGTTATATCAAGTTAGCATACAAATGTACAGATGCTGATCCTGAAAAAAGACCAACAGCAGATGAAATTTTAAAAATTATTACATTTTGGAAAGATGCAATTGAATCTAGTGATTCTGATGAAATAAACTATTCAGAAGAAATAAGAGAAAAATATGAAGAATCTAATATTTCTAGTTATTCTGAAGAACAGCTTGAGGAATTAGAAGAAATAAAAAAAATATTTAAGGAAGCAGATAAAAACCCTTTAATCCTTCAACAATTATTGCAACTATTCATCCAAATGCTGTTTATACAAGTAGATTATTGAATTTTACAAATCTTCCTCAACCTGTAAACTCCAATAAAGTTACAATTAATAATAATAATAATGGTAATTATCTAATATATTGTTATATATTTAATCTTAATTATTTATTATTAATGGTATTTTAAATCATAAACAATTATAGAATCTAAACAAATTGAATTAACTATGTCAGATTCTAAACAAATTGAATTAACTATACCAGAATAAATTTTATTTATCTGATTATTGAAATTTTCACATTAATTTTTTTATTATTATCAAAAAAAATTTTTTTAATGATTATATGCTATCTATTTTAAATTAAAGCAACCCCTCCTTGTAATTAACCTGATTGAAGTTACCTATCATAGTGGTTGTATCTGTTGATTATCTGGGTGTTTGAGTAATTGGTCAATCAATAATAATAAAGCTCAACACCTGGATAATCAGTAAGTCAATAAAATTCAACATCTGGTGAAAATTTCCAACACTCAATTAACTGAATAATTGGTGAATAATTGTTGAATATCATTCAGTGGATACAACCACTAACCTAACACCATTCCTCTTATCATCATTTAGTATTATTTAGTGCTAGGTGGGATTAGAGTTGCCTTTCTAAACTCTAAACTCTTTTCTAAACTAGTCAGAAAACTTAAACTACTTTTGAAACTAACCTGAAACTCCTAAACTATTTCGAAACTCTTAAACTATTTTGAAACTCCTAAACTGTTTTCAAAACTCCTAAACTGTTTTAAACTCCTAAACTGATTTTATGTCATATGATGTGTAACCACAATTATCAATTTAAGTGACCAATGTTTTTTATCAAAAGTTCATTTTATTTTGATATTATTGTCCTGACAACTAATTAATTATTAAATCATTGGTTTAGTTTAAAAATATATTATAATTTTCTTATTTGTTCTATATAATTTTTCCTCTTAGAAATATATATAAATTTTTTTTAATCACAATAATGTCAAACAATACTGATGTAGATATAAATAGTTCATTGAATTCAAAAAAACTTGGTGGGTGACCAAAAAATGCAGTTTGCAAACATTTTGAATGTTATCCTTCCATCAGGAAAATGGGTACAAATATTATGCGTATATAATACGCAATTGCAGAGATTAAGCATATAATATATGTACAATTTGCATACATAAAAAAATACACGATTTGTATGCATATTATATGCTTAATCCCTGCAATTGTGTATTATATACGCCGGGTGTGTGCTAACATAAACTCAAAGGAAAGTCATAGCCATGGATATGACAAACCAAGTTAACAATGGTTCACGCCTGTCCTACAACCGTCCCCACTTTAAACGTCCAATTTTGCTCTATTTTGATATAATATTTGTACCCATTTTCCTGATGTCAAATCATCCAGGACATTTCAGAGCCAAATGCAAAGTATGTAATTGTGAATGGAGTAATGGAGTTGTTAATAAACTGCAAGTCCATTTGGCATGTGATTGTGAATATATTAAAGAAGAGATCAAAAAAAGATATATGTATATTGTTGCAGAAAGAGATGGTATAAATGAATCTTTAGAAAATCCAGCATATAAAGCAAATAAAATCACTTGCTAACTTTTGGGATAAAGATGAGATATTATCAAAAGAACATGCAGGAGTTATATATCGTTCAATTTTAAAGGCTTTTGTAGTTTGTGGTTTCCCCTTTAGAATAATTGAAAATTCTTTTTTCATCAACATGTTAAAAAATCTCAAATCAAATTATAAACCTCCTTCACAAGATTGTCTTAGTACTAAATTATTATCATATGAAACTGTTTGTGTGGATATAAAAATTAATAACATTTTAGAAAAGGTTAACAACTTGACATTGGGTCTGAATGGTTTTTTTATTTTATTAAATTTAATATAATATTCTTTGTTCTTATTTTCCAATTTAAAAAATAGGAATTGATGGTTGGAGCAACCCTAAAGGTTATTCCATTTATAATTTTATGATCACCAAAGCAGATAACAAAGAATATCTCTATTCATTACATGATTTATCTGATGTTAGTTATACTGCAAAAATTTTAAGAGATGAAATTGAATGTGTTTTATCCAGAATTGAGCTAGACAAATTTGCAGCAGTAGTGAGTGACAATGCTTCAGCAATTCTTAGTGCAAGAAAACAAATTTCTGAAAAATATCCTTTCATTTTGAATACCAATTGTATAGCACACTATGTAAATTTGATAACAAAAGATATTATGAGCATGTTTTTTAAAAATTAGGCTTTTTTTAATCTTATTTATAGTTTAATAATCTATATTTTAAAAACATTACAATTAGAGCACACCTTTCCATATAAAGTCATTAAACAAGGTAACAGAATTAGCCATTTTTAAAAACTTTTGAGCATTATCAAGAAAATATATTGATGAATATGGTATTAAAGACGGCGAACTTCATTCATACACACCAACTAGATGGACTTCAATGTTTGAGACCACTAACTCCATCCTCCAACTCAAACAACCATTGGAAAAGGTTTAAATATTAATTACTTTCTTGTTTATTTTTTATTGTCATCTGTAAGATTATATGATAACAAGCTTTCAATTTAATAAAGATTTATGAAAGACATAAAGATTTACTTACAAATGATAAGTTGAAACACATTCTTGGTCTGAGAGGTTTCTTTCATGATGTTGGGCTTGGCAACTTCTGTATTGTTGCTACTACAAAAAGCAATTCTCATTTGGAAGGAACAAATGTTAACCTTGTAGATTGTTTCATCCAACTTGTGAAACTTGCAGTCAGTATCAACAAAATTAGTGTTTGGCTGAAAATTAAAAAATTCCAAATTTTTATATGTTATGAACTTCTTGAAACCTCAGCTTCCTATGTATAAAAGTTTTCAAGAAACATTCCAAGCCCTTAATATTTTGATACAATA